GATGTTCAAAGGAATGTACTTTGAGTGAGAGACATAATATCTAAGGAATTGTCTTGTAACAATCTCCGATAGAAGATTTGAAACATCATTAGCAATAGTCTTTGTGACTTTGGTGCAGTGACATTACGAAAGGATCGTGCATAAAGTGTTAGAATCTAGCATATTCTATAAGTAGCAAGAATTTGATATTCTTCACTTATGAGGAATTTGGAGTTGTGAAATGAGAATGATTGGAAATGTGTCCATGTGATCTATTTCACAAAGTAAGAACCATAGGTAAACATTGTGTGCATGCTAGGAGCATGGACAAGTGTAATAATTCAAGTAAGAAGTTGATTACCCGAAACGACAAATAATGAGTAATCGGTATGGTGATAAATAAAAGGAGTTTTATTATACTCAAAAGTTGAGGCCATATGGATTAGTATTATTCTTGTGTGTTTACTTTGCATGTTTTGACTTCCAGAATAATTGAGTTTATTAAGAATAATCGAATTATTCAAACGGCCACAGTCGTTCATATGTTGGAAGTAGATATGAATGAAGACTGTCATGAATTGTGTGTGGATTGTCTAAAAAGTATTAGACATAAGCAAATGTTTGCTGCAACGTTCATGAGTGCTTACGAATATGATTTGAGCATTGGATTAAACCCACGCTCACTTGGATCGCTCCATGAATTGTATCACGAGTGATTGTGAGACGATAACATCTTATATTCTTGAAACCGAGATGTGTGAGTTGTATCTTGCTAATCGGTTGCACATTGATAATATGAAAACGCACTAGTAACTTGGTGTTATAAACATATTGTTGTGTGATTTGGTTAGTGAGTGCAAGCGAGCATTGTATTAAAGTTTATCCGTTCCTTTTATCCAAAGAAGGATAAAAGCGATATCTTTGGCCCCTCGATGGTTTAGTGATGACATTACGTAAATGCTCGGCTGGCTAGGACTAATTTGATTTGTTTAATTAGTCTGTCATCATAAATCAAAATCGAGAAGTAGTACAAAGAGAATGATTAGAAATCATATCTCATATGATATCTAGAATGGAGGAATATATTATCCCTTATCTAAGGACACGCGTATATGATATGATCAGAGTTGACATCGGCTTTGGAAAGCTACGATTGCAGATCAGGATCTAAAGTCATACGCAGAATAGTTATTAAACTTATCCAAGTGGGAGACTGTTGGATTAGTGTCTAAGTCCATAACTATTTTGGTATGTACTTGACCCGATGGTGCATGGTCCTTTTGGGTTGCCTTCACCGAAGCAACTTGATTGGAGAAATATATATAGAGAGAGGATAATATGATTTATTAATATGTTATAAGAATAATATATTAAATGAGAAATCATATTTGTTTAATTATTATTGGTCAATAATTAATTAAGAATTAATTTTGTGATCAAGTGTAATTAATTAAACTAGAGGGGTTGAATTGTAATTATGTGATAGTTACAAAATAAGGTAAGGATTATCTTAAATATATGGTGAATGAATTTAAGGTGATAATGCCTTAGAATTCGACTAGGATAAGGGTTTCTAAGACTTATCTTATGGTTGCTTGGTGGACAAGCAACTAGATAAGGATAAGGACTAAATCCCTAATCCTAAACCTATATAAAGACTCCTAAGGCCTTAGAATTCGTGGACTTGATCCCTAAAGCATCTAAGGACGAATTCTAACCTCTCTCCTCTCTCTTTATACCTTCTCCATTTGCTCTTGGTGTTTGTAAGCCATTAGAGGAGTGACACTTGTGACTCTAAGCCTTCCAAAGTCAATACAAGGAGATTTGGGATTATTATTGCTACATAACAATCAAGGTAATATTATAAACCTATTCTTATGTTAATATGATTACTTATATGCTAGTATTAGGGTTTCTTTATGTGTTCATAATGTTGTGTATCTAATAGTGAAAACATAGATCCAATTCTAGGGTTGCATGCACACATAGGATTGTTTGTATAAAAACCAACAGGTGCACCATCATCCTTATGGGTTGATGCTTTTAGTTCTGACGTATACATTATTAATCGGCTTCCATTGCATGTGCTAGAAAACAAGTCACCATTCGATCTTCTCTTAAAAACTCAAACAAATTTTCACCTGTTTCATACCTATGGATGTCGAGTATTACCTCATTTAACGAACTATTCAAATCATAAACTTGCTCCACGTAGCATCCCTTGTGTTTTCCTTGGTATAGCACCCAATACAAAGGTTATCGGTGTCTTCATATGACTACTTCTAAGATCTACACCACTCAGCATGCTAAGTTTGATGAGGCTCTATTTCTGTTCAATGGTGATGTTTTTGTGTCTAATAATACTAGCATGTTTCTATCACATTTTGAAGAAGCAAGTGCACCAATTTCGGCCCAATCAAATCCCAGTGATGCACCCATCTGTCCCCACGTTGTTCCCCAACGAGCCCAAGTCCGTGCCATTTGTGTCTTGATTCTGACAAAATTGTTCCAATATCTGTTCAACACTTATTGAAGATGTGCCTCCAGCGGACTCCAAACCCGTCTCTCCTGTCCCTTTTGCTCCAGACTCTCCTCCTTGTGTTGTCTCTCGACACAACCCATGATTACACGAGGTAAGGCTGGAATCTCCAAGCCTTGTCCTTTCCTAGATTTCATAGCTCTCACATCAAGTGCTTTACAAACGGTCTTATTATCTCACAAAGATCCAAATGGCTTCAAATCGGCCGCCAAACATTCTGCATGGATTGACGCCATGAACACTGAAATACAAGCTCTTCGAAATAATGAAACATGAGACTTGGTTCCTAGACCAACCACATCCAATATTGTTGGAGCCAAATGGGTATTTCAAATGAAGTATCAGTCAGATAGTTCTATAGATCAAGACAAGCACGCTTAGTCGCCCAAGGCTTCACTCTCGGTCTCAACTACTCTAATACGTTTAGCCCAATTGTGAAAGCTTCCACTCTGCGTATCATCCTTTGTCTTGTAGTTCATCTAAACTGGACTTTACATCAAATTGATGTAAATAACACATTTCTTAATGGACATCTTAATGAAACTGTCTTCATGGAACAACCACCTGGTTTCATTGACTTGCGTTTTCTATATCATGTGCGTCGTCTTAAAAAAGCACTTTATGGCTTGAAACAAGCTCCAAGGGCTTGGGTTCAACACCTTAGTTCCTTTCTAATCAAAGTTGGTTTACTTGCAGTCATGTGTGCCCTTCCTTTTTCAAGTTTAAAAAGGGCTCTTACATTTTATTTCTTCTTGTTTATGTCGATGACATAATTTTAACATGAAATAGACGTTTATTGCAGCATTTATTGCTAGATTACATCAGGAATTCGCTAGTAAGGACCTGGGAAAACTCAACTATTTCTTGGGATTGGAGGTTGTTTACACTACTAATGGGTTGTATCTTACTCAAGCTAAATATGCTTTAGATATTCTATCCAAAGTTGGTGTATTGTATACAAAACCAATTTATACTCCACTTGCTACCTTAGAGGCACTAACTAGTCATGCTGACCTGTTTTATAACCAAACTCTCTATCGTTCTTTGGTTGGTGTTTTGAAATACCTCACCATCACTTGTCTTGATCTATCCTACATAGTAAATCAAGTTAGTCTGTTCTTGCATGCACCTACAACAACTCATTTCCAGGCATTCAAGCATATTCTTCGATATGTGAAAGGAACCTTATCCTTTGGTCTTCATTACCAAAGATCTTTAACTATTCCTCTTGTTACCTACTTGGATGTTGATCGGGCACGTTGTATCGAGACACGACGCTCAACCTATGGTTATTGTATCTTTGTTAGTGGTAGTATTATCTCATGGATTGCCAAGCCACCTACTATGTCTCGTTTTAGTTGTGAATTTGAAGATCAGGCTATGAGGAACACGACTTTCGAAATCATTTGGATGACTCGTCTCTTACGAGTGCTTCACATTCCAATATCTCCTACGCCATGTCTATATTCTGACAAGAAGAGTGCAATTTTTCTTAGTCAGAATCATGTTTCCTATAACCATGCCAAACACATTGATATAGATTATCATTTTGTGAGAGAGTTGGTCACCTCCGGCAAGCTACTTGTTTTATTCCAACCATACATATGGTGGCAGTTCTTTTTACTAAAATCCTTCCATAGCCTTTATTTGAGCCTTTTAAATCGAAGCTATGTGTTGGTCCACCACTTTCTAGCTTGACGTAGGGTATTAAGGGCAGGCCCGGCCCAATAGGGTGGGCAACCTGGGCGACGGCCCCGGGTCTCATTATAATTTGGGGCCCCAAAATTAATTGTGTTTAATAATATATATTCGTTTTGTTTTAAAAAAAACATACAAAACATGAGGTAGCTGAGTTGGGTAGAGGTATTTCATATAGCCACCTCTCTTTATCGAAAAATGTATGTTCGATTCCGATTATTAATGTTTTCTTTCATCTACCTTTTTTACATGTCTTCTGTCTTGTAATTGAATCATACAACCACTTTATTAAATTTGAATTCAAATTACAAAAATAGCCGCTTTATTTTTATTTGTTACTCACAAATCATCCAAATTATAAACAATCTATTGACTTTTTTTGAATTTTTGACAAACAATCCAAAGAGTTTTCTTTCATCCACCTTTTTTACATGTCTTCTGTCTTGTAATTGAATCATACGCCACTTTTTTAAATTTGAATACAAATTACAAAAATGACCCTTTTTTTTTGTTACTCACAAATCATCCAAATTATAAACAATCTATTGACTCTTTTTGAATTTTTGACAAACAATCCAAAGATTCATTTCATTTAAAATTTTGATTCATTTCATTTAAAATTTTGATGTTTTCATTGCCAATTACCATTACCATTTGTAATGTTTCTGTTTATATATAAGGTTTGCTATCTTGTACGGTCTTTTGAAGATCAATTTGTAGCCACTTGCAGTATACTTCAACATCCGTCCACACATGTCTAGCTGCTTTTCTTGCCTTTACCAACTCACCATTTGTATTGAGGCTTTCTTTGATGTCTTACAAATTGGAGACCTTCTGTCATGCTGTCAAGCAAACCCTTGATTTGGCCATTTGGAATGTTGGGAAGAGCAAGTGCAATGGCAGTTAATGTCACTGCTACTAGGCTCCAGCAATTCTGTATTTCTTCCGGATGTAAAGGTGGAACTCTGTCATTGTCGAATTCTACTAATCCATTGAATCCAGTAGATTTCTCGAGAAGCTTCATAAGATTCCTTGGCTCTTTCTTTTCAGACTCTTGAAGAAGTCGAGTTATAGAGTTGAGTGCATTTCGTAATAATCTCTTTGAAAGCTTCGCATCCTGTTCGATTTGGAGGACATAATCGGTATATTCTTCCATATCGGATATCACATTGCTATTGGATGGACTTGGTTCTTCCTTGAACCACTTCAAGGAAGACTTGACGAAGTGGTAACAATAAGAGAATAAGATCAGAAAAGATATGGGAATGAGACATATTGTTTTACATATAACCACAACCATTATCTGAAGCACTATACAAAAGTTCAAAATTATGTTTCTGATGTTGCGGAAAACTTTCTTGCGATGGCGGCCTGGGAGATATGAAGGGACATGGCTGTGTTTCCAATGCTGAAGCCTTTGAATCCAATGCTTCTCAACATGGAACACGTTTAGATGGTGCATGCTCCATTTCATGGAGAGGTTGAAGTGACTGGTGGCAGTCAAACATCTGAAAATAGGTGCTATACTACCAACTAATGTCCCAGTTAGTTGCAAGTAAACAATTAATTTGATGGACCACTTATAATCCGATACATCATTCTGAATATCTGATCTAAAAAAACGCAAAATAATGAATGGAATGTAAGAAAAGAGTGAGCATAGAACCCCAAAAGTAGAAGAAACTGGTGAACAAGCAATTGCAAATTGGGGGTTACCACTCTCTGCCATCATCCAATACTTTTTAACCTTATGTTCGATTTCGTTGTAGGAGAAGTTTATCTGTTCATGATTAGAAGCCAAACTGTGCAACTCCTTGTACCGTTGTTGTAAAACTCTTCTGGATGCTGAAACTGTCAAGGCTACTGAAATTGGCCATGGAATCAAAAGAATCAATAAAGGGATTAATGATGCTAAATTCATCCAAGCACTAATAAATTGGATCCACATATTTACATTAATGGTGTATAAGAGGATACACAAGGCCACCGTATTCAGCAGAAGTTCCTTGTCATTCATAAGCCCTAAAGATGGGAGAAAGTTGGCTAACATGGTGAACAAGAAAATGATGCTGACACTCTTTGCTAGAATCTCCTGAAAGTCATCAGACATGTCGGCGCTCAGATCCACTGGTAGCTTTGTTGATATTGCTATCAGTGTAACGGAAGCAGAATTGATGGTGAAAAATCTGCATGGAAACCAGAGCTTCCGTTGTCGAAAGCCTCGGTAGACATCGGCTGCCATTGCTAGAGTGCAAACCAGAGAAGCTGCACAAATATACAATCCCACCCAAGGCATGGCTTCTTCTGGAGATGTCCATGTCATCTTGCTAGACCAGAGTAAATGAAGCGTTAACTTGATCTAGTAAATACAGGAGCTAACTGTTGCTTCATATATATACATAGGAATTTAAGAAAGATTTTTATTTGATCAAGGAGAATATGGATCAAACGTAGTAGTGAGAAGCTAGAAAGATATTGTTAGTTATTTATTTCCAGGAACTTGTGGTTAGGAAGTCTATTTCCATTTTATCATGTTTGTGTGATTTTCGTTCGTTCTCTATGGCTTGACAGTGTACTTTTGTCTGTATCCAGATTCCAGGAAATGTATCCAAGGATGAAATCTCTTGTTAAGAAAATAATCCAAGAAATTGATGGACATTAATAAGACGTATAACAAAACCTTGCTCCATTTCGCATCACCGTATCCTTTAATTGATACAGCGAGTTTTAAAATATAGTATATATATTGTTATCTCATAATGCTATAATGATATAGAGTGTAGACTTTATTATAAAGTTATCTCTGTTTATTTTTTAAGAATAAATTACATTTTTGGTCGTTTTTTCCGGTTTTGGTCCCAAAGGAAGTTGGGTTGCAATTTTGGTCCTTATGTTGATGCTACATAACAATTTTATATTTGGTCCTGGGTCGTTTAGGTTAACTAGTTAATTAAATTTACCCTTAATTTGTCCTTTTATTATTATTTTCTCTTTTGTTATTATTATCCACTAAATTTTACGGTTAGTCCTTGTAGTTTTAAATTTTTCCTTCAATCGGTCCTTATGAAATTTTTCCATACACGAATGGTCCTTAACTTTGGATTTTAGAAGACCATCTGCCCGACTAACTCTATTGACAAATGCTATTAGAAATTTGTGAAATGACAAAAATACAATTTTATAATTCTTTATATTTGTGAAATTGTTTGAATTCAAGGGTGATATTTTGTGTGTTTTGTGTTATCGAAATGATGATTCGGCTTTGAAATTTCTTACGAAAACGTGTAATTTACCTAAGAAAATATGATGACTTGTTCGTGAAAGAATGCTTAGTTTGTGTACACTTGATCTTCGAGTGTTAATCTAAGTTCTTGGGATCTTATTATTGGTATGTTAAACAGTAGTTTGGATTTTTTTTTTTTTATTTATTGTTCCTGTTTAGCTTCACAAATGACATAAAACTTAATTTTCATATGTTTTTTGAGACAGCAATGAGTGTCTTTGTTATCCACAAAAAATGTAGTAACTTAAACTTAGTTGTTACAACTTTTAACTATGTTTTAAGAAATACATCATTCAAATTAAGTATAAACTGCATTTCTTGTTTAAAGAAAGAAATATAAGAAAAGGATGAGAGGTTGAGAAACCTAAAATTCCATTAATAATATTGGTAACAAGTACCACACTAGCTAGTGATGAGTTAATTCGTGGTATATTTTGAACATACACATACTAGTTTGTTGGAAATTTAGTATAAATATTTATATTTTTTACTAACTTTGGACATATATAAATATATACATATGTTGTATATATAACGAACTCTAAGTGAGTTTGTGTTCTCCACCATGAGGACTTCGAAACGATATATTATATGTCCAAAATAGAGTATAAGTGAATGTGATATCGATACTCAAAGATGAGTATTTGAGAATAAGTTTAGCAAAAGAGAGGAATGTGAGAATGAGTTCCACATTGGTAGAGAGACCAAACTCAACAAGGTTTATAAGCTTCACTGCATGGAAGGCTTACAAGGTTGTGTTTATGGTTATGCTACAATTCCTACCCGCACGCAGGGGGGTGCAAGTCTTGGTTCCGTAGACCAAAAAAACCGAACTCGTGCATGGGCGCGACCTGCAAACATGAATATAGCTCCGAAGACTCGAACACGCTACCCTCATTTTTGCTAAACCTGACAGTTTTGGTCCCTATTTTTGAATTTTGTAACGGATGCATTAATTGCGTAATTAATAACATTTATTGTCATTAAACGCTCAATCAATTAGTGATTTGTTTCCGTTTCACGATTCAACTATAAAAAAAGACCTTGCCTTCTCATTCAAACACACGATGAAATTACTCTTCTTCTTCTTCCTTCTCTGCACTTATGCTTCTGGCGATTCGCAAGTGGTGATATCTGGCAGTACACAATATTGTTTAGGTTGTTGTACCCTGAGAATAGACGGCGAATCTGTTTAAGGGAACCGAGTCCAACTCGAGCCTCAACCACAATTTTTCTTTACAGGAAGCTTTCAAGGATGAAAACAAAGACACTTTACTAACATAGTCAAACAATAGTTATTACAAAAGATTCATTACAACTTGAAGAAGCCGGTTGAATCCTAACTGAAGCATTGTGTATCTTACTCTTTGGTAATGCATGCCACTTATCAGTGTACCCTATTGACTCCATGTCTGAGTTGGGAAGTTGGTGTTTTTTAAGCAATTTCAGGATCTTTTTTGATCTACCAAGAAGCTGAGCTACAATTCGGATGTTGTCTTCCCTTTTCTCTATTGCATCATCATGACACTTCATAGTTATGGCACATGGTATGTTAGTAAAGCAAGCACATAGCAGATCTGCGATAATAGTTGTTATAAACTCAAGAATTTCTTCATATGTTGGCCAATTCTCTTGCTCATTGCAGTGTAGCAGTATGGTTTGGCTGATCCTGTACACAGGAATTGCAGAATTGAACTCACAATGTGAGTGATACAAGCTTACATTTTTCCTTGTCTTGAACTGTATCACAATTTTTGCTGCTTCATCACCCAACCATTGAAGAATCTCCTTTGATGTTTTTCCTTTATGAGCTTTCTTTTGAAGATCAATTTGTAGCCACTTGCAATATATTTCAACGTCTGTCCACACATGTCTAGCTGCTTCTCTTGCCTTTACCAACTCTTCATTTGCATTGAGCCTTTCTTCGATATGTCTTACAATTGGGGACCTTCTTTCATACCGGAAAGTAACCCCTTGACATGGCAGTTGCAATATTCAGAAGCTCAAGAGCAATGGCTGTTAATGTTTAAGCGACTATATGGTGAACAAGAAAATGGTGCTGACAAACTTTACTAGAATATCATGATTGTCAACAGACATGTTGGAGCTCAAGTCTACTGGTAGCTTTGTTAATATTGCTATCATTGTAATGGAAACAGAATTGATAGTAAAAAATCTGCATGGAAACCAGAGCTTCCATTGTCGAAAGCCTTGGATGACATCGGCTGCCATTGCTAGAGTGCAAACCAAAGATGCTATGCAAATATACATTCCCACCCATGGCATGACATGTTCTGCACGAGATTCCAATGTCATTTTGTTAGTCTATAAAAAATGAAGAGTTAACTTGATCTAGCAATATAAGAGCTAACTGATGCTTGATATATATATACATATATAGGAGTTCAAGAAAAACTTTTATTTAATTTAATCAAGGAGAATATCAATGAAACAAACTAGTGAGAAGCTAGAAAGATATTTCCAAGAATATGTGGTCAAGTCTCAAAGACTTCACATTGGCTTGACAGTTTAATTATTGATGTATCCAGCAATAGCATAATGTATATAGGGCTTGACTCAAAGTAAACGCCTAATGTTCCTAAAGCTTTGACCCAAAGTAAACACACTAATTTTAAATGGATGAAATCTCTGGTTAAGACAATGATCCAACTGCGAATGTGGGACTAGTCTGCTAGAGGTGGAAACCTTTTAGCCACAATTCTTGGGTTCAAATCTAGGCTTAGACGAATATACTAATTTGGTGAATTTAACATCTAACAACTAACTGGCCGTTCATAAAAAAAAAAAAAAAAGACAATGATCCAACTAAATGAAACCTTGCTACATTGTGCACCCTTTGCATCAGTCAGTTTTACAATATATTTATTTTGATCTAATAAGCAATGCTATAAATGATATAGACTTTAGAGTAAAATACATTTTTGGTCCCTGTGGTTTGCACAGATTTATCACTCTTTGTCCTTAGTATTGGGATTTGATTATAGATGGTCCCTATTTCGCTGTTTGGTATCACTTTGCTAACTCCGGTTAAAATTTTGTTACTAACACTGTGAAAAAACTTTAGTACCTTCGGACTATAGTTATAAATTACAGTACTACTTGTCTGTTATGAGTTTGAAGAAAACAGGGAAAAGGGGTTAAGAAAATGTCAACTGCTTCTTACTCGTTCTTTATCCCTGCTTCCTTTATAGCCATCTTCAACCATCATCGTCGATTTTTCTTTAAAATCGCTATGGACAGTCATCATCATTGATTTTTTCTTTGGAATCGATTTATAATGAGATTTTCAGGGGTTAGTGTTTGACCAGGCATTTGGCATTACCTGGCATAACTCTTCCGTAAGCAAACTCGGATTTCATAGTAATTGTAATATTTTAAGATTTTATTTATCAAGAACTGAGGGAATTAGAGTTTCAGTTCTTAATGAAATCTGATAGAATTGTGAATTGTTTATCATTTTCGATATGTTAAATTGTTATTGTATTGATTCATGAAAATTTAGAGTACGAGCGTATCGTTTCCTCTTTTGTTAAGGCCAACCGGTATACTTGGCACGAGCCTTCTCGTGGTTAAGCTGGACCACGATCACGACCGTGCACACTCTCCCGGCCGATCGTGGTCATGGTGAACCGTTCTCTAGACGATGAAACCAAACACCAATAGGGCTCAAGTACTTTCTTGATCATTTGACTAGCCATTGAATGGCCAAATTTTATAAAAAAGTGTTTTTTTAAATAACAATTTTATATGCCATTTTCACTTATAAATACCCAATTCTAAACCTTATTTTTATACACCATTCTTTTCTTACTCTATACACAAAACACACACAATATTTTCACAACCAAAACCATGGATCCCAAATCATAGAAATCGCAAACCATATAACACTTATGCGTTAGACACAACCCCTTACCAATTCCCGATGATGGAATCACCTCAATGTGGTTTTACCAATTTGCTTCAAACCAGTTCCCATATCCAACAAACAAAACTTTGCCAACAACAATATCAAATTTTCCCGTCCTTCCAACAACAACAACTTCAACAATATCAAGCTTTCCAACCATTCCAACAACAACTCTAACAACATCACAGCCCCAACCATCACAACCACCTCATTCGCCAGATTTTGTTTCGGAAACTCAACCTTCACCGCCACCTCAACCTAAAAAGAAAAAAGAAAAAAAAAGCGGTTCGACCCAACACCACCCAAGAAAGAGTCCCATGGACAAAAGAGAAAGAAGAAGAAAAGCTAGCCAAGGCATGGATTTCGGCTTCCCAACACCCAATCAAATGCTATAGTCAAACGTTCGATTGTTTTTGGGAGAAAATTTGTGCGGTGTTTTACAAGCTAACGGGAAGCGAAAGCTGAAATCCTGATCAAATTAGCTCGAAGTGGCACGATAATTGAATAAAAAGCACCAAATTTGGAGGATTTTACAACCACCTGCTAAACATACGAAAAGCGGGGAAAATGATTTTGATGTCTTCAAGGCAGCTTTGGACCAATTTGAAAAAATAACGCCAACACACAAAGCTTTTACATATGTGAAACCTTGGTTAAAGTTGAAAGATGCTCCAAAATGGAAAGAGCAAACGCAAGGAAGTTCACAATCTTCTGGTTCAAAACGTTCAAGAAACACCGACGGAACGCCTCAACAATCGGATGGGCGAATGCATTTTGACATCAACGATGATCCGCTCAATCTTGAAGGCGAGTAACCTCTTCGTTGACCCGTAGGCAGAAGTAAAGCACAAAAAAACGGTATCAACGGCTTCAGGTCTAGTGTTATGGATCAATTTGGAGAGAAATTTGATCGTTATGTGCACTTTATAAAAAACAACGGCGGAAAAGTTGAGTCAGGTAGATCAAAAAATGATAGAAACACAATCGGTGATTTAAACAAAAACCGATATTGAAATCTTGAAACCAAAGTGGACGACCATGAAGATAAAGATTTGGAGCTATTTCTCGCGATGAAGGACTCCGTTCGAGTCCAATGTAGGAATAGATGATAGTTTTTTTTGGTTAAGCTTGGTGATTTTAGGTTTTTTTATTTTTAATGTTATTTTTTTTAATTTTAATTAATGTAATTTTTATTTTTTTTAATTAATGTAATCTTTATTTTTAATGTTGTTTTTGGTTTATATTTATTTTAATAAATGTAATTTGGTATTTTAAATTAATGAAAATTAGTATTTAAAAAAAATCATATGATTTTTATGTATTTTTCATTTAAATTTAATTAAAAATTTAGGTGGAGTGGTGTGTTTAGTGGTAGGTATCTCATGGTTAGTGGTAGAGAATGTAGTGATGACGTAACACCCACTACTATAGTGGTTAGTGGTGGTATAACAAATGGTCTAATCTAGATAATGCAAGACATGATTTGGCGGCAATGTCTAGCCTCAAGTTTTTCGAGTCGTGGCAAGCCATGTTGTCTGTAAGGCATGAATTAAAGCAACAAATTTGTATATAATTAATAATTATCTATATATTTTCTATTATTATTCATTTTATATACATATATGAGACTACATTTTATTAAATTTGGCAGCAAATACAAATTTTGGAGCCATACCAGCCTTTTTAGAACCTTGTTTTTATCAAGTCTTTATCTAACAATCTTTATACTTTATGATATAGACTTTTTTGGTCCGTTTATCTTTTAGAGTAAATTATATTTTTGGTCCATGGGTTTAGCTATTTTTTTTCGGTTTTGGACCCAAAAGTAATTGTGTTGCAATTTTGTTCCTTATTTAGATGCTTCATAACGATTTTGGATTTGGTCCCCGGTCATTAAGGTTAACAGCTAGTTAGATTTTGGATTTACAAAATGATCATTTTACCCTCAATTTGTCTTTTTATTATTATTTTGTCTTTTGTTATTGTTATAGACTAAATTTCATGGTTGGTCCTCATGGTTTAAAATTATTCCTTCATAGGGCACTTAATTTGGATTTTAGAACACCAGTTGTCTGATTAACTTTGTTACATATTTGGGAAATGGCAAAAATACAATTTTTTTTTTTTTTTTATTCTTTGTATTGGTGAAATGACCAAAATACCATTTATGTTCATTTGTTATAGTATTATATTGGCCAACCTACCCTCTTTCACCTGCACTTGAAACAGACTAGTCAACTTTTATGCAATTAACTCCTTTGGCAACAAATCCATGGGGACAAAAATACCCAGTTAAAACTTAGTGATTCCCAGCAATATTCTACATTAATACTCCTCATTCATCATTCGTCATTCCATTAAATTATGGATATATTAAAATTTGGCATTTAAATATGTAGATATTGGAAAAAAGTACATTTTGTTAGAAGGGCGTTGATAGCAAACCAATTTGAAATGGCAAATCTCCCAAGAAAAACTGATGAAGAAGAGATGATTTGGTGCAATTTTCAACTTAATAACAAATACAGATTACAATTTTTAGAAGGGGAATTACCGGCTAACTAAAATTAAGGAAACCTTGCATGCTGAAATGAAACCTGAATCATACTTTGATGCAACTACTTTGACTGGTAAATGAAAATAAATGAAAGGAGATGAAGTCTTCGTGCACATGAGCCATACTAAGTCTTCCAGACTAGTGCTTCAGTATTTATAAATTATTATACCTGTTAGCTTTATTTCCGTCTTGGAATTTTGCATAATTCTCCCATGTTGCTTCTGCGACTTCCTTGAAGTGTCATGCCACTAGAACCTGTAGATATTTGTTGTGGAGCCGATGGTTCAATAGTTGACTGGGAGCAAGAATGGTTTTCATCCATAGCAGGAAGGGGTGTTAGTTCTGGATTGACTAGGGCTTGTCGGAGTAATTAAGGAGACATGAAATACAGTATGTATCCGAGAGTCTTTGTGATTATAACAACTAGTGACCTGGAATGTTGTTATAATTGGGAATTTTGGTAAAGAGCGTTTCTAACTTTCTATTATGAGTAAAACTTAAAGTGTCATGAGATTGGATTTCTTATGAAATAATATTGCATGTCGAGTTTGAATTTTGTTTTTCTAAAATATTTTATATACATGCCTGAGTTCATGTTTATCCCAAATAAATAATTTGACATTTTTTGAGGGTTGCAATTTCGGTCCTTGTTTTGATGCTTCATAACGATTTTGGATTTGGTCCCGGGTTATTAAGGTTAACAGCCAGTCAGTTAAATTTACAGAATAACCATATTACATTTAATTTGTCTTTTTCTTACTATTTTGTTTTTTGTTTTTGTTATAGACTAAATTTCACGATTGGTGCTTGTGATTTAAAATTATTCCTTCAAACCGCCCTTACGAATGTTTTCCATGCACGAACAGTTAACTTTGGATTTTTGAAGAGCACCTATCCTACTAACTCTATCAACAAATTCTTTAGATATTTGTGAAATAACGAAAATACCATTTATTTTAATCTATTTTAATTATATTGTATTCGGAAATGATGAAAATACCATTTATTTTAATTTGTTGTAGTATTTTATGGGCCCACCTACCCTCCTACACCCACTAGTACATAAAGATTTTTTCGATGCAGTTAAAATGATTAATAGATGCGGTTATTGAAACGCCTCAAAAAATATCGCCTTAAAAATAGTCTTATTTATTGATGCAGTTGTAAAACCACCCCAAAAGATCGAACAACCGCACTAAAAAAAGTAAAAAACAAATGCTTTTTCCATTAAAAAGGCAGTACAACCGTACTATTAAAAGCTAGAATCGCTCCATTAAATAAAAAAAAAAAAAAAAAAAAACTCAAGAGCACCACCATTACAAAGATAAACAACTTGATTTACAATACGGAAACAAAACAACAAAAAATGATAATAGGTGTAATGGCACAAACCATACAAGAGATTCAAATTATTTAATAAAAAATCTCATTCTTTTCTAACCTTTTCATCATTGTATCTATTTACAATTTGATATAATAACTTCAGGTATGTAAGTTGTTTAGGAAGGTAACTACATAAGCATATTGAAGTTTGCTTGATTTAGACGTGTTCAGTTACGTTATCATCATCTTCACATGACCTCTCTTCAGTATCTTGCAGACTTTTAGCGATGATACCCACCTTTGAATCTGTTACCTTGCTTCGGTAGGAATTCAGAATCTAAATTACAAAGTAATTTTATTAAAATGCATATAATACATTTAATCAAAAGGTAAATTACACAGGTTATAAATATTATAAATACAAAGGAGAGAGCCTTAATATAATTATTGTAGATAAAAGACATGAGATTGTTCCTTTTTTAAGGTTTTTTCTACCTTTATATTTTCCCATATATATATATATATATATATATATATATATATATATATATATATATATATATATATATATATATATATATATATATATATATATATGCTCTCCTTTGAACATCAGAAGCTTCTTTGCCCAACCTCTTCTTTTTTGCACAACCTAACTTAAGAAATCAAAGTATCAGACATATAGATTAAGTAAATTTATGAATCAAAATTATAAATCAGAATATCATAAACATACCTGACAGTCTTGACGATGGGTTGATCGCGATGGACAAAGATGATTGTAGTGGAGGTCGACTCCTCAAAGATTATTCAGATTCATCACGTTGCTAACCTGAAGACATGAATCAACAACGATATGAGTGGGGTCGACCGAAATCAGAGATGATGGAGGCTATGACAGCCCGAATTGACGATGATGCAGACACGAGTGACAGGACTCAAGGATGTTGGTGAGGGCGGTAGTAATCGATGATATTAGGGTTTGTGTTGCCAAATGAAATTAGATTAAGGAAATATAAAGGGGAAGAGAAAGGCATCACACGGGGAATGAAATTTTGGAAGGACCTTCAGTCCAGGAACTCAAATGAGAAGGGAACTCAATCCAAAACTTCATCAAAAAATGCATTTTCTATTACCGTAGTTTTGGAAAACGGCATCAAAAAATACATTTATAGTGTTTTTTAAGAAAACAGCATCAAAAATACATTTATTATTACTGTGATTTTGGTAAACCGCATCAAAAAATACATTTATTAGTGCGATTTTGAAAAACAGCATCAAGAATGCATTTATTAGTGTGTTTAAAGTAAATAACATCAAAAATGCATTTGTTAGGGCGGTTCTTTAAATTATTGATGCGAAAGTGTTTTAATGGTGCGGTTTTAGGCTACGACCGCACCAAAAAAAAACCTCATCACACTAAAAAAAATACGTTTTGTACTAGTGACCTACACTTGAAACCCACCCGTCAACCTTCATCACACCTTCAGCTTTCACTCTCACTTTTCTGGTAACTCCCTCCATGCAACCAACTCCTTCCACAACAAATCCCTCGGGACAAAAGTGATTGCTAACGTGTATCAACCCCTGTGTATTTCATTAGGTATCAATCCAAATATATGCAAGAGCCCTATCACTATTTTCGGATTTTATCTTCACAATAAATGTACCATATATCTTCAGTATTAATGCCTATCTATTAAACCAAAATATGCACAAATCCATCATTCACATTAGGTATAGACTACAATTCTTGTTTTAAGAAAGAAATATATGAAAAGGATGAGAGGCTGAGAAACCTTAAATTCTAGTAATACTTATGAAATTTGTAACAAGTACCACATTAGGGATGAACTTATTCTAGATATGCTAAACCATATGAAGGCTGGCAAATTTTGAACATATACATACTAGTCAAATAATAGTTACTACCAAAGATTCATTAGAACTTGAAGAAGCTGAATGAATCTTGGTCGAAGAACAACCATTGTATATCTCACTCTTTGGTATTGCATGCCACTTATCAATGTACCCCATCGATTCCAAATCTAAGTTGGGAAGTTGGCGTGCTTTGAGAATTTTCAAGATTTTTTTGGATCTACCAAGAAGCTGAGCTGCAGTTCTGATGTTATCTTCCCTTTTCTCTATCGCATCATCATGACACTTCATGATTATGACACGTGGCAAGTTGGTAAAGCAAGCACATAGCAGATCTGCGATTATGGTTGATATAAACTCAAACACTTCCTCATCTGTTGGCCAATTTTCTTGCTCATTGCAGTGAAGCAGTATGGTTTGACTAATTCTGTACATTGAACTCGCAGCAGTGAACTTACAAAGTGAGTCATCCAGACTTACATTTTTCCTTGCCTTGAACTGTATAACAAATTTTACTGCTTCATCACCAAGCCATTGAAGAATCTCCTCTGATGTTTTTCCTTTACGGGCCTTCTTTTGAAGATCAAATTGTAGCCACCTGCAATACACTTCAACATCCGTCCACACATGTCTAGCTGATTTTCTTGTCTTCACCAAATCACCATTTGTATTGAGGCTTTCTTCGATATATCTTACAATTTGGAGGCCTTCCCTCATGCAGTCAAGCAATCCGTGGATGTGGCTGTTTGCAATGTTAGGAAGAGAAAGCGCAATGGCTGTTAATGTTACTGTTACTAGGCTCCAGCAGTTCTGGATTTCTTCTGGATGTAAAGGTGGAACTCGATCACTGTCGAACTCTATTACTCCATTGAATCCTGTAGATTTCTCGAGAAGCTTCATAAGATTCCTCGGCTCTTTACCTTCAGACTCGTGAAGAAGTCGAGTTATAGAGTTGAGCGCATTTCGTAATATTCTCTTTGAAAGCTTCGCATCCTGTTCGATTTGCAAGACGTAACCAGTATATTCTTCCATATCTGATATCACATTGCTGTTAGATGCATTTAGTTCTTCCTTGAACCAGTTCAAGGAAAACTTGGCAAAGCGATAACAATAAGAGAATAAGATGAGTAAAGATATGGGAACGAGACAAATTGTTTTACATATAACTACAATCGTTATCTGAAGTGCTATACATAAGTTCAAAATCATATTTCGGATATTATGGAAAACCTTTTTGGAATATCGGCCTGGGATATACATAGGAACAGAGCTGCTTTTCCACAGTTGAAGACATTGTATCCAATGCTTCTCGACTCTGAATACGTTTAGATGGTGAATGCTCCATTTCATTGAGAGATTGAAATGACTGGTGGCAGTCAAACATCTGAAAATTGGGGCTATACTACCTACTATTGTTCCTATTAACTGTAAGATAATAATCACATCGATTGACCATTTATAATCAGATTTATCATTCTGTGGCTCATCTGATATATCAGAAAGAAAAAAAGTAAGTAAACTTAATGCAAGGCTTGCGCATAAAACCCCAAAAGCAGAAGAAACCGGTGAACAAGCAATTCCAAATTGGGGGTTACCAGTTTCTGCCATCATCCAATACTTTTTAACATAACAAATGAGTCGCTTGTTGGAGAAGTTCTTCATCTCTTGATGATTAGAAGCCAAACTGTGCAACGTTAACTCCTTGTATCGTTGTTGTAAAAGTCTTCTAGATGCTGAAACTGTCAAGGCTACTGAAATTGGCCATGGAATTAAAAGAATCAATAAAAGGATTGCTGTCCCGATTCTCAAACTTATAATTTGGATCCACATATTTACATTAATGGTGTATATGAGGATACACAAGGCCATGGTGTTCAGCAAAAGTTCCTTGTCATTCATAAGCCCTAAAGATGGGAGAACGTTGGCTAACATGGTGACCAAGAAAGCAATGCTGATTAACTTTGCCAGCTGCACAAGACTGTCAGATATGTCGGTGCTCAGATCCACTGGTATCTTCGTTGATATTGTTATCAGTGTAATGGTAGTAGAGTTGATGGTGAAAAATCTGCATGGAAACCAGAGCTTCCGTTGTCGAAAGCCTCGGAAGAGATCGGCTGCCATTGCTAGAGTGCAAATCAGAGATGCTAAGGCAATATACATTCCCACCCATGGCATGGCATCTGCAGGTGTCAATGTCATCTTGCTAGACCGGAGAAAGTGAAGAGCTTAACTTTATTTAGCTATACAAGTGCTAACTAATGCTTGGAATATATAGGTAGGAATTCATAAAGATTTTTGTTCCACTTGATCAAGGAGAATATTGAGGAAACAAATTAGTGAGAAGCTAGAAAGATATTTCTAGGAATCTGTCATCATTACTTCTCGGTGGCTTGACAATTATTGATGTACGTATCCACTATCCAACACCATAATGTTGGGCTACTATTCATCTCACTTTCTTTATTCATGTGAATCTTTTCACTAGGGTCCATATTCATGGATGGTTAACCAAATATATTCATGTGAATCTTTTCACTAGGGTCCATGTCCATGTTCGGTTTGGATGGATAAGCGAGAGTAAAGGTTTATTAATTTCTTAAACCTAAACCTAAATAGAAAATACAAGTTAACCGATTTTTTTGGTTAACCAATTAATGGTTTACCGATTAAAAAAAACTAGATTGCAAAACTAATTTTCAAAATAACGAGTCTTTGGAGGATCTTTTACAAATATAAAACTTAAAAGTGATAGTATATAAAATAATAATATAATATTCATTTATTTAGGTTAATGAGAAAACGGATATTTAGCCAATAACGTATTCACTTCAATTGTGTTTTAAGGGTAATATTGTTAAGACCGAACGATGTGGGCCGGCGCCCCCCCCCCCCCCCCCCCCCCCCCTAACGAGAAAGTTGGAGGGTGGTATTGAGTAAAATTATATCATCAACTTAAACTCATAAAACCATATATAAAACCATACTTATAACCCTAAAATTATTATATGGATGGTATACAGTACTTTTTTTTATAGAATCACATACACAAAACGGTATATTTTGTGGAAAAATAAATTCAATCCCTACAAATTTATATTATGCTTTTTTTATAGAATGACATACACAAAATGGTAAAATTATTGGCCTCTTTTTCTTTGCTTTAATTGCAACAGCCATCACTACCTAAATTGATGGGGCACTAATGGAACCTTCACAACAACTGTCACCAAATTCCATGATCTAATCACCAAGAATCAAGAATAGACATCACTTTATATATACCTTCATCCAATCAAGAACACACATCACCTTATATTTTCTTCATCCAATCCTTTTTTCCTCCTTACACTGTTGCACACCACCAGACCACACTCGCTTGTTTCTATGTTTAAATTGTAATTGCCTAGCCAATAAGTCTTTTGTGGATAAGGAAGGTTTTCCACTTCAAAAATTGGGTGCGTACTTTTACATAGTGATTTGTGAAATTGAGTTAATGTTTGAATAATTGTTGTCTGTTTTGAAGTCGGAAGTGATGAATGACCATTTATTATTATTATTTATTTTCTTACATGTTTTTTTTTTTTTTTTTTAATTCTTAGTTTGTGGTTATTTATTTTGATTGTTTAAAATAAAGTATATGTTTTTAGTTCACGAATAATCAACAACAGCTATGGTCTTAATTTATTTTAATAAATGAACATTTATTTATTTTATTTAGATGGTTACACATTAGCTATGGTGTTAATTTTTTTCGATTCTTACTCTTTGTTAGTTCGGTTGTTAAATAGGTATCGTGCGAGCTAGGTTCAGGTATTCAAAGTAATTATTATGTAATTGTATGCATAAATGTGAGCCAATAAAAATTTAAAATAAAAATAAAGACAAAACTGCAAAAATGGTCCCTGTGGTATGCAAAATTTTGGAGTTTTAGTCCAAACTACGACTTTTTTGGATTTGTAGTGACAAAGAACATGGTTTGGAACGCGGAATTAAAGCTTGCACAATTGAACATAGTGATTTGGGTGTTTAAGAGATGTATTGATTGTATATGGTGTTATAAAAATGATCTAGATTTAGAATACATAAATAACACACACTTACACACTCACTTTTAAATCTCTCAAGCACACATCTCTACAAGTGGTATGAACCCACTATTTATAGAGGTGTTTACATGTCTCTCTCTCACTCTCTATCTCTCATGTGTCACAAGGATAATACTCCACATGCAAGTGGGTTTTACAAAAATCGAACATTACAAAGTCATTCATGGAAAACTTTGTACCCTAACATTCTCCCCCTTAAAGTTAGGAATGAATGAACCACTTCAAATCTTCCAAAATCAAACACTACACGATTCGAGCCTCAAAGGTGACACATGTCGACACGAACTTCAATCTTCAATTCTTCCATGATTCTTCAATCTGGGCTCTAGGATGTGAGACAATACAATCCGAGCAGCAACGAATGATCAAGAGTATTCCAAACTCCAAATAATCACCCTAAAGTTGCACATAAAAACACACCCCAAAAATCTTCAATAATTCCAAACCCATTTCGAATACATCACTTCCGAACTTCCAATTGCATCATCTCGTAGTCTTCAAAACTTCAAGATCACTTCGGTCTTCAAATCTGCGTAATATGAAAAATTCAAGTTCGAATTTCCATATAAAACTTCTCCCCCTTTTTATAATCAAAATTTGATTATAAAACTCTAAGGAAAAAGAACGTGCTCTATTCGGAATTTTTCATGTCAAAACTCCCCATTAACATGTGGCATAAACTTTGTGCTTCAATCAGAAAAACCCAAAAAATAATCAATTTTTATTGCCGTTCACGGATTGCCTTTGACAAAATTTCTCAAAAATTGGGTAGAAATTGTCAATTTCAAAATTCTGCAGTGACCCGTTGCGCCAAAAACAGCCAAATATGTGAAACACACCCCCATTTGCAAAACTGGGTTGAATGTGTAAAATCGCACAAACTACAGGGACCTGATTCGAAAATATTCCCATTTCTAAAAATTTTTACCCCAAATGCGAAACTGGGTAAAATTTTCCACCTTGCGAAGACTGCAGGGATGCGAAATGGAAATTCTGCATTTTTGTCATTTTATTACCCATTTGCGAACTGCCATCATTTGAAACTACAGGGACTCTTTTCGAAAATATTTGTTTTCTTCTTCCCAATTCATTAACTAGTGAAAACTTCGCATCGTCATTTGCACGCCCCTTACAAATGCTTCGCATCTTTCACCCAATTAACCAAAAATGCGAACACAATATCTATAACCAAATGTGAATCCAATGTTCTCTTTAACCAAATACGAAAATTAGTTTTGAAACCCAGATGCGAATATCTCCCTAACATAACAGATTGCGAATGAACTTCCTGTTTTACTTCTAAATTGCGAACCATATCACTATTTGTGAACATTCAATCCAATTAATCAAATGCGAACTGCTGTTGAAGACAAATGCGAACTTCATATCACATCCTTATACCCATCGATTGTTCGCATTTCATTCACAATCCAAGTTTTGTTCGTCAAAACAAATCTTCCATTCAAAACAAGATCAATATGTGAACCCAAAGTTAAGACCCAGATGCGAATGGGTGTTATCAAAAGTCATAGATCATCACACCAAAGACTTCGATCGAACGACACCAAAATCGAAATCAACAGCTCCAAAATCTTTCCAGTTCATTTCAAAATTCACAGATCCATCGACTCCAAGCTTTCGCATTTTGAGTTACATTGCAAGCCAAATCATTGATTTCTCAAAATCGACACCAAAATTTTGATTATACTTTCCAGTAAACTATCGAATCAATAGTATATCAAAATCATTCAATTCTTCAAATGTCGACTCCAAAATCTTCAATCATTCTTAATCGTTCGTGAAAGTATGAACGGACACAATGTTCGTCATCAAAAACATAGATCTAACTGATTTTCAAAATTAATTATTCAATCAGACATAATTTCGACATCTAAAGCTTGTTTCAACTCAAAAACAACAATTTCAGAGTTCTTGACTCAGATTATCAAGATTAAAAAACTCAGTTGAAGAAGTCTATGCGATGTCTTAAAAAAAACAACGATATCATCACATATGAAATTGACACCTATTTTCAGATTAAGATTCATTGACGATTGGAAAGTAATAATGAGAAACCGAGATTTAGAAATCAAGATTGATTGATTATGAAGATGATGATCTAAATGTACAAGTATGATATGCGATTGTCAACTGACGAACAGGAATGTGATTTTGATCCACTAAATCTGATCAATGTGATCGAATTCATTGGGCTTACAAATTGATCATGAGCAATAATATTCGTTGTTGGGCTCCAAATTGAACAACGAACAGTAAAAGAAATACGAAATTGATTGGGCTCGTGATGAACAGTAATATGTTGAAATTTGGGCTGAATCAAAAACAAATGGATCACAATTAATTTTGGTTTTAAATCTTGATTCAAACGAGCAATTGAAACTTTAGAATCAAATCAACAAACGGATTATAAATTGGATCGGGACTTGATCAACAAAAAATTATTGGATCATAACAAACGGGTTTTGCAATGAAAATTTGATCCAAAGAGTCAAATGATCACAAATCAAAAATGCAACGCACGAATCAAATATTACGAGAGATCATAGAGAGAGACTCACCAAAATTGTTCAAGTTGCGACAAAAATTGCCAAACCGAGAATCGTTCTTCAAAAATCACCTTGATCTTGAAGACCCGCTCTGATACCAATTGTAGTGACAAAGAACATGGTTTGGCATGCGGAATTAAAGCTTGCACAATTAATCATGGTCATTTGGGTGTTTAAGAGATGTATTGATTGTATATCGTGTTACAAAAAGGATCTAGATCTAGACTACATAAATAACACACACTTACACACTCACTTTTACATCTCTCAAGCACACCTCTACAAGTGGTATGAACCCACTATTTATAAAGGTGTTTACATATGTCTCTCTCACTCTCTATCTCTCATGTGTCACAAGGCTAATACTCCACATGCAAGTGGGTTTTACAAAGGTCAAACATTACAAAGTCATTCATGGAAAACTTTGTACCCTAACAGGATTGGTGATCCTTTTGAGCTAGTTTCATTGCGTTTTTGGTCCCTCTAAATAGTGAAATGACTGTAATACCCTTAGGTTATTTATTTTTCATTTATTTTTCATTTTTTTTCATTTTTTTAAAATCTAAATACTTATTTATTTATTTAACCAATTAAAAAAATAAAAGTCTCTCTCTCTCTCTCTCTCTCCGGGTGGTATACCCATTTCTTTCTTTCATTCCCGATTTCAACGAACAAGAAGGGGCTGCTACCTCCGACAATCTGGAGATAGCCATCGCACCACCTGCTAGCCTCCATTTGACCACCAAACTCCACCGTGAATCGCTACATCTCAACCCACCATAGAACCATTCCAACCTCACCCTATCTCTTTTTCTTTTCTGTTGATTTGAGAAACCCTAAACAAACCCCAATCCTTGCTCCTTTTTTCCTCTTCGATCACCCTTGTATTGGGAAGATGGAAGCAACGAAGCTATTGTGCAACCACTACTCGCCGCCGTTGCTGTGTTGGGAGGTCCCCACCACCACTTATCACCGCCCACGAATCCAGATGCAGGTATCTGGTGGGACGAATTTAAACCCAAAAGAAACTTGAACAAACTTACCAATAGCAGCAAGGCGATGGTGGCAGACTGCAGTGGTGGTGGGATGTAATGCCGGTCAATGGTAGCTCCGACTGCTTCATTTTCTTGTTGCTCTGGTGAGTTTGACGAGGGGTCAAGAGGAAGCAGAAACTGATGACGGTGGAGCTTCACAGTAATGGAGACGTGGTGGCACTGAGTGATGTAGGTGAGTGGTGGACTTCCGACGGCTTTTGTTGCTTTGTTTACGGCTTACCCTCTACGGGGATTGGTGGTGATCGAATTCAGTGACTAGTGATGGTTGGAGTTCCCTGACAACAGCAGCTTGGTGGTGGCGGTGATGACTGGAACTCCACAGCATTAGCAACGGTGGGTAGTCGTGGGTGGCTGCCATTAAAGGTTCTTGTTCCCTTCTTCGTTTTATGAGTAGCAGGCCTTCAAGAGGAAGAATGTAGAAGGATAAGGTTGGAAGAGAGAGAGAGAGAGAGAGAGAGAGAGAGAGAGAGAGAGAAGTGGGCCCCAAATTGGGTAATTATTTTATTTTTCATTTAAATTAAATAGAAAAAGCATAAAAAATATATCAGAAGGGCATAATAGTCTTTTCAGTTTACTAAGGGACCAAAAACACAAAGAAACTAGCTCAAAAGGACCACCAATCCAAAAAAGTCGTGGTTTGGACTAAAACCCCAAAATTTTGCATACCATAGGGACCATTTTTGCAATTTTGTCAAAAATAAATAAATAAGGGTAAATAGATAATCTGATAATTAGTTTCCACAAATAATATCCTACAATTATGGTAACCATTGACTTCACCTACCTAGGTTTTCTCCATCCATCGTCGGCTTTTTAAAACCACCATCTATTGCCGATACACCAGAGGATATCGATCCAGAGAAATAGCTCCCCAAATGTCATTGTCGCATTCTGATGGTGCTCTGAAGATTGTCAATGCTGATGAGGAATCAGGTTTCACCTTCTTCGATTCCTCCTTTATTGAAACTGGGTTAAGTCTTGAAGAATTAAGATAGAAATTCTACGAAAAAAAAAGCGATGCTATTGGACCACCGCTTTGTGTTGAGGTCTCGAACTCTCCTTCTATGGCTATGGAGGCCAATCTGGTTTGTGTTCCCATCAGTGATGCTGATCGGCCGTTTTTTCCATTGCCGTCAAATGTTGTAGCTCTGACTGATTCTCTTCCATCCGAATGAGTCGGCCCTCATCCTCACTCCGATTGTCAATCTTCTCCTCTGATGGCGGTCCATATTTTTGTTTGGGAAAGATTCCCCTGAACTCATCAAACAGCCTCCTGTCATAGGAGGTTTGACACTTTTTTTTGGTAAAGTACAAAGTGAAGGTAGTTTGTCACTATTTTCATATCAAATTTACTTCTTCTTATATGATAAAAATCATTTTGTTTCTGTAGATGATTCAATGGATAATATTGGTGAGATTCCAATTCTAGTGGAATGGAATCATGAATTCAAATTCTGTTGGAATGGAATCATGAATTCTAATTATGTTGGAATAGAGTATAAAGATTTTTCTCACTAATTTATGCATGTTCTACAATTCTTGGTTATTGGTTTGGGTGAAATTCAAAAGTCCACATATTTTTCCAAAGGAATTTAGTTTTTTATTTTTCATTTGCTAATGCATTATTGGAATATAAACTACAATTTGGTTTTGTTTTAACATAAATTAATGCTTGAAGAACGGACCACAAAATTGAAAGTGGTTCTAAGCAACATTATTCTTATAGAATGTATTAGTGTCGTTGTTAGATTTTGATATTTTTTTTCCCGTTTTGAAAGTTTTTTTAGTTTTATTCTTCAACAATAAATGTAATTCTTAACAATTGTTACTCGTATTCTATAAGAAATAATGATTTTTTTTGTTTTTATTCTTCAATTGATTGTTCAAGAATTTGTTATTCTACAAGAAGTTTTTAAAGTCATGATGAAGAAATAGGTTCAAGAATATTTTTATTTTTAAATGTACTTATAAACATATTATGTCAGAATGGCCGAATTAAAAATATTATAATTCATAAAATCGGATTTTTAAAATTAATAGAATCTATGATCCCTTAAAATATGCAATTTTCCTTTATTAAATCTATATTAATTGACTAAAATACCCTTGTAATTAATTTAGATGATATTTTTCAATTATATTTAATTCAATAATATATATTAATCACTTTCTTAAGATAAGTAAAATTGATTGGCTCACATTTTTGTATAAAATAACACAATAATTACTTTGAATAGAATAACTTAAGTCGGTATCGTGCTACTAACTAGGGATGAGATTTAGAACCGGAAAACCGGACAGGAACCGGAATCGGACCGGAATCGAATTGTTAGAACCGGAATATATAGAACCAATTCTGGTTTCGGGTTTAAAAATTGGCTTTATCTAGGTTCCTGGTAATCCGCGTTTCGCTCTATTCGGTCCGGGTAAACCAGGTCTAAAAACCGGAACCGGTGTTAGGAACCAGAACCACTTTAGGGCCTGAACCGGTTTTTGTGAAACGTTTAAAAGATGCATATCTTATTCGTTTCAACTCCGATTGACATGCAGTTTTTTTCCAATATGTAGTTTATAGTATGTACATTGTTTTAGACTATAAATTTGTCATTTTTAGTTTTATATTCATTGACTTATAGTCCTCCAAAATCGAGATATCAAAGCTGGAAGTTTTAGTTTTTCAATTTTTTTGTATTCGGTGAAAGTTTTAAAACATGTATATCTAATTGGTTTGAAGTCAGATTGACATGTGGTTTTTTCCAACTTGTAGTTTACAATTTGTACATGAGTTTAAACTTTATTTTTATCATTTTTGGTTTGATATTCAATGATTTACAGTCCTCCGAAGTTGGGATATCAAAACTAAAAATTTTCAACTTTTCAGCTATTTGTTTTGGTACTTTGTATTATGTGAAAATGTTAACGCATGCATATCTCATTCGTTTAAAGTCGGATTGACATGCGGTTTTTTCCACAGTGTATTTTAGAGTTTGCATACAATTTTGGACTATAATTTTGTTAATTTTGGTTTCATATTCAATGAGTTACAGTTACAGTCCCCCAACGTCGAGATATCAATATGAAAATTTCAAAGTTCAACCCACTAAGTACCAATAAATTCCGGTTTTTCTGGGTTTTCCGGTTCTAAACCCACTTTATTCGATTCCAACCTACCCACTTTGATGTTTCTGGGTTTTCCGGTTTTAAACCTACTTTACCCGGTATCGTACCCGTAACTGAACTGGAACCGGTTCCTATATACCTGTCCGGTTTCTGATTCTACAAAATCTCGTTAACTGGTTCCGGGTTTTCCGGATCCGAGTCCATCTAGTCCGGGTTTGGACCCACTTTCATCCTTACTACTAACAGTAGTTAAATCAGTGAAATTATTTATATGTTCATGACTGAACATGTAAGAACATGACAAATTTCTAGTTTTAAATAAATGTTTATAACTGAACATATACATATGTTCAATAAATGACCATTTATAGATTTTATATGGTTACATTTATACATGTTCATGAACATGTATGAATATAATAAATTACTGGGTCTTTTTAAAAAATGTTCATACATGAACATATGTACATTGGTGAACACATGTTCATCTATAAAGATATATACATATATGAATGTTCATATATGAACTTTAATCATATTCATTTTATATGTTCAATGCTTGTTTTGTTGATGATCAATGCAATTAGTTATTATTATTATTATTATTATTATTATTATTATTATTATTAATGATGCTTGAATTTTCAAATCCTATTTTTTGGCATTTGATTTAAAAAATGATATAATTTACGAACATCATTAATAAATTATTGTTTCCATTTTTTTGATAAACTAACTATTTTACCATCATAACTTTATGGTCCTAAATTGATCCAATAATATAAACAAATTATTATATGGTTATATGCATAAGTTTGGTTTTATGTTAATGTAACATACCAAAAACACATAGTAAAATTTTTTGTTTTCAAGTTATCTAAACCATCATTCATTCATTTCAAACCATCAAAGTATAACATTATGAAAAATAGTTATCAAAATACAATCCTAAAATCATAAGTGTCAAATACTGGTGGATGCAATGCGGTCATGTCGGGCTCTTACATTTTAAACCAGAAGTACCTGAAAACATTTCAAACATAAACCGTAAGCACAAAGCTTAGTGAGTTCCCCAAAATACCACATACCGTACATATCATACATACAAATCATTCTAAATCAAGTACGGGTCTATTTCACCCCTGATTCCCTTTTGACTCCCTGAGTCCCTTTCAAATCCCTAAGTCCCTTCCGGCTCCTTCTGTATCTTTCAACCAGTACAGGTCTATTTCACCCCTACAACTAAGCATACACTCATACTAGCAAGAGTCACAAAGACATCTAGTACATACAAGAATATCAGTAAGTGTTACAAGGACCACTAATATCATACAACATAACCCAATGGGCCAACGTTGGTGTCTTTGTCCAATAAGTACAGTAATGAGACTCACCTTACAGTCTAGAAGAATAGTTGCACAGATTACTGCTGCAAAAGCTATCTCTATCTGTTACCTATACAATTAAAAGGGATCCAGATCTCAAATTACTATTCAAATTATCCAAAATACCCTTAGGTGAAACTTCGTCAAATTCTTGGTCAAGGTCAACAGGTCAAAGGAGGTCAACATATACTGAGTACCCCCAGCTCAATTCTAGTCCCAAATAACATTCTATGTCAAAATGTTTATGACTTTCCTCGGCTAAAAGGAGTCTATACCCCAAAATCCTAACTTAATAGACAAACCAAAGCATCATGACTCTTGCATGGAGGGAAGAAAGGGACTAAGATGACATTTTATGACTCTAATAGCTCCATAATGAACAAAGTTTCCAACTTTATCCATTAGGATCATCCAAACAACCAAGGTCTATTCTTTAGGTCTCAACAGGACCAAAATTACGTCTTTCTCAACTTAATCTATTAAGTCCAATCTTCAACATTCATATTTGAATCAGTATGATATTTAGATGGATAAAGTTTACAACTTTATCCATATCAAGGTCACAAACTTTCAAGATTTAAACTTTATGCACTAAAGTGACCAAAAAGCTCATAAAACCCAAAACTAGCTAGATATAACAAATGCATCATCAATATTCAAGCTTTATACCTTTTGGAGTTGAGAAAAGCAATGTAGGATTTGCATCTACAAGCTTGACCTTCAACAATCAATAATCTTGAACTTCTCTTTCATCCAAAATGCACTCAGAACACATAGAAAGTCTCAAGATTTGATCTAGGGGCTAGGGTTTCGAGTTGGAGGCTCAAGAGGGTGGTGGTTGATGTTAGGAAGG